CCCGCTCCTGCTCCTGTCTGTCTGTCTGTCTGTATGTCTGTCTGTTTGTCCTGTCGCTGGACCTCCTCCTTCTCAGCCGCAGCAGGGAGGCGAATACTTGCGCAGAAAGTCTCGAGGAGCGCCAGGCCTGGTTGTGAGGCGGCCAGTGGACGGCGCTCTGGACGTCCGTCCGGCATGGTAAGAAATTGCCCACGGCCGCGGCCAGGCAGACGGACAAACAAAAGGCCGCCAGAGTCCACACCCTCGCTGCAACCGGGGAGGAAGGGAGAGCGCTACGAGCTGCCACTGGCACCAAGCTCGCGCCAAGGACCCTGGAAACCTTTGGACAGGTGCACGCCTGCTTCCCCCCCGCCCCCGCAGCGCTGCAGACGGCGCCCAGGACAGCTCCGAGCCCAGAGTTGTTCGAAGAAGTAAAGGCGGAGACAGAGATGCTGCTCTGGCGGCCGCCAAAGCTGATAGCGCCAGGGTTCCTAGGCTGCGGGCTTGAGCACCTGGCGGCCGCAGGCTCTTGCGGGGACGCTATGGGATGGCTGTCAGCGCCATCGCTCGGGTCGCCGTAGGAGTGCTGCCGGACGACGTCTTGCAGGCTCTGCGCACTTGCGAAGTCACAGCGCACCGCAAAGGCGACGACGGGGCGAGGCCGCTCCTAGCCAGCGCCTCTGTGCGGCGTCTCGGCATCCGCGCGCTCGTGCGTGTAAAGAAGGAGCAGTGGTGACAGGCCGCTGAGGAGAGGCAGTACGGTGTCGGGCGGGCTGGCGGAGCAGAGCTGCTGCTGCGGAAGCTAGAGGGCCAAGCCGAGGCCAGGCGGACAGCGGTCTTCCTCAAGCTGGACTTCGAGTCGCCTTCCCGTCACTGGAGCGAGAGCCAGCCGCTGCGGCGATGTCCGCGCACGAGGCGGATGTGGCCTCTGCCTTCCGGGCATGGCACGGAGGCTCGGCGCAGCACCTCTGGAGAGACTCCTCGGGGAAGTTCCACCCTATCGACAGCGCGCGGGGCTTCGACCAGGGAGACCCGCTCTCGCCTGCTGGCTTTGCAGTGGCACAGAGGGAGGCGCTGGACGGGTTCATGCTCGAGCTCCTGCGCTTGGATCCAGAGGCGAAGCTGTACTGCTACCTCGACGACTGCCACCTGCTCGTCAGCGCGCAACTAGCCGAATTCGCGCTGCAGGCTTTAGAGCGAGTCATCGGCTCTCTCGGGCTGCGGTTCAACCAGCGCAAGACAGCAGCTTGGTCCCCCGCAGGAAGGGGGATTCTGACGATTAACCTACAGAGATGCTGGACACCGAGCTTGCCTGCGCTCGGGAAACACCTGCGCCCGCCTGGAGACGCGGACGCTCGCGCGCCAGCCAGCCTGCGGGAGACAGCAGACAGCCTGGGGGGAGCGGAGCGCAGGCTGAAGGACCTCACAGACGAGCTGCTGAAACTAAACGAAGCCTGGCTCAGCAAACAGACAGCCGGCGCGCTGCTGCGGGCCTACGCAGGGCCAGCGAGCCAGTATTCCCTGAGGATGGGATGGAGCAGGCAGCAGACGCAGCCACGGCGCGCTACGACCAGCAGCTGGCGGCCAGCTGGCAGGCCCTGCTACGGCGCAACCTGGGGGAGAGAGCTGGCGCTGCTGGCGCTGCTGGCGCTGCCCGCCAGAGAAGGGGGCGTCGGGGCCCAGCTCGCCTCCGCGCGGAGACATGCAGCTTTCCTGGCTTCCTGGGCGGCCGCCGTCGCAGAGGTGGCCCAGGACCTCGGCTGCGGCACGCTGGCTGACTGCCTGGAAAAGCTACCTCGCGCCGCGGAGCAGCTGGAGAGCGCCCGCCAGGGGCTTCGAGCCCAGGGGCTGGACCTGGCGGCTGGAGGAGACTTGGCAACGGCGCTCAGCACGCCCTTGCGGCAAGGCCTCGCCACGGAAAGGGTGCAAAAGACGCAGCGCGCAGCCCTGCTGGAGCGCTTGCCCCTTCCGCAGCAGGCCGCGCTTCGAGGCGCCGCGGGGCCGGGGGGGGGGGCCAGATTCTTGGCGCTTCTGCGGAAGCCTCCTCCTTCTCAGTCCCCCCCCTCGCTCGACGCCAAGTCATGCCTTTGGCGCCTGGAACCAGGCGCCCACCCGGCAAACGCCTGCCACCTGCAGCGCGCCGGGGGCGCCGGCGCCGATGCGGGTGCTTTGGGCGCGGGCTGCGTTCGGAGTCCGCCCATCTCTTTAGATGTGTGTTCCTCTCTCTCTCTCTGTCTCTCTGTTTCTCTCTCTCTCTCTGTATTTCTCTCTGTCTCTCTGTCTGTCTGTCTGTCTGTCTGTCTGTCTGTCTGTCTGTCTGTCTGTCTGTCTGTCTGTCTCTCTGTCCCTCTGTCCCTCTGTCTCTCTCTCTCTCTGTCTCTCTCTTTCTCTCTCACTCTCTCTCTCTCTCTTTCTCTCTCTCTCTCTCTCTCTTTTCATATTTGTATATGTATATACACATAGATGCGTATACAAATATCGTATCTCTCTCTCCGTGTCTCTGTTTTGGCACGTTTTTTGTATTTTTGTTTTTTTGTGTTTTTCTATATCGGAGTTGCGAGACATGGCACCATCACCACCAGCACGGCCGCTCCCCGCGATGCGGCGAGGAGGTCCAGGAGAGGCCTCCCCCGGCTGGAGGTGGCGCGTGTCCGGCAGGCAAGGCACCGGGAGAGGCAGCGACAAGACACCATCACGAGGGTCTTCACCTCTCGCCTTGCCTTAAGTCGGGCTTGTCCCCCTACAGGGGGATTGGCGACGGAAAAAAAAAACAAAGCAGTCAAGAAATTGCAAAAACATTGTCAGGGGACTTTTTTTGAGTATGGTTTGATCTTCTTGGGGTATTTTTGGGTTTTTTTCCATTGAGAATCCCCCTGCAGGGGGACACGCCGGACATGAGCCTTGCCAGCGGTGCTGTTCGTGTCGCCCTCGCGGCACCCGCTGCAGTGCGTCCGCCCCGCGCGCCAGGACGCCTTGGCTGCCACCGTCGACCCGGGCCGGATGGCGACAACCAGCTCGGTGAAGGCGCGCGGCGCGCGGCGACCCTGCTGCACGATGCGGCATCTGTGCATACATGTGTATACGTGTGTGCACATGTCGATACACGTGTGTGTATACATACATATATAGATATAGATATAGCTATCTAGATCTAGATCTGTAGATATGAGGACACATGTATACACATGCCTATACATAAATAAGTATGTATGTATACATATATATATATACACATGTAGATATACATGTATATGTGTGTGTGTTTGTGCGAAGGAAGACTTCAGCAGAGGGGCGCGGCCTCGCTTCTGGTTCGCCCGCTTCCTTCGATCTCCGCCGCCGCTCGTGCCCCTCTGCTCGCTCGGCCCCTCCGATCGGCCCCTCGCTCGGCGGGGGGCCCAATGGATGCGGGCGGGCCGGGCGGTGACCAGAGCGGCGAAGCTATGACAGATCGTGCCGGGATCGAGGAGGTGCAGGATGGGGAGGAGAGGGAGGGATACAGAGAGGGAGAGACAGAGGGCGAGTGACGGAGGCCAGGGGGACCTGCGGAGGCGCCAACAAATAATTTCAGTAATAATAGTAACAGTAATAATAGGACGAAGAGCAAGAAGGAGGAGGAGGAGAGGAAGAAGAAGAAGAAGAAGTGTTTCGCCGGACCGGCAATATTGAAGGCTGCTTCTGAGAGTCCTTCCCCCATGCCCTACCCCCCTGTACGCGCCGCCAACCTCCGGGCCGTAGTTGTGGCAACCGCGCAGCCCACCCGCCCCATCTGTTAGTGTTTATGATTGTTTGTCTCTTCTGGCTATGCTGCACGAGATTGGCTGCAGCGCGGAGGGATTCAAAGTGCTGGTTGAGGCGTGTGTCTTGATGCCCTGAGCTGTCCTTCTTCCCGCTGCGAAACACAGCAGCACTCAGTAATTGAATTGGCACCCGTGACAGTGCCAGCAGCAGTCGTAGCCGCAGCGTCGGTACGTAGAAATTTGGCCGAGCGTCAACCGAAGGAGTAGTTTCACTTGCAGCAGCAGTCGTAGTCGCAGTGGTAGGATTGGCAGCCATACTGGCGACAGTGGCGACAGAAGTAGCAGCAGTGGTAGCAGCAGTAGCCAGCCGCCTCCACAGAAGGAGCCATGGAAGCATCTGCCAAGCTCAGCAGCAGCACGCTGGCATCAGAGCAGATGTCAGCATCTGTCGCAGCAGCGGCCCCATCAGCGATCAGGGGAAATGCGGCCACACCAGCAGCAGGAGCATTGTCTGTCGAGGCGGCGTTCGTGCACAGCAGCAGCTCTGTCCCGCACAACTCGTAACAGCATCGGGAGGAGGAGGAGGAGGAGGAGGAGGAGAGAAATAGGGAGGAGGAGGAGGAGGAGGAGTAAGGGAGAAGGAGGAGGAGGAGGATAGAGGGAGGAGGGAGGAGGAGGAGGAGGGAGGAGGAGGAGGAGGAGGAGGAGGAGGGGGAGGGGAGGGCAGAGAGGAAAGGGAGGAGGAGGAGGAGGAGGAGGAGGAGCGATAGGCGGCACAGATGCACGATGGCCTGCAGTATCAGCAGCTGCAGAGCGAGCGGCGCGAGCCTCGGTGGCAGCGGCTGCGGCAGCATGGGTTCGCCATGGCATCGCGGTGCCAGCAGCAGCTGCCGGCAGAAGCTGCCCAGGAGACGGGGCAGGTGCAGTCACCGACTGTTGCAGGCGCACGTGGCACGACGACCCGAAGAAGCAGCGGCACTTCCGGCAAGCATGAGAGGCCAGAGCAGCAGCAGCCGTGTGAGAACCACCACCACGAGTTGCACGATCCGTCGTCGTGACACGTGCGCCTGCAACAGTACCAAAGGAAGTTGCAGCATCCGTGTCAAGGGAGGCGATAGCACCAGCATGTTCTGCAGCCGTTTCAGCATCAGTGCTAATCTAGCAACAGCAGCAGCCATAACCATAGAGCTCAGGTCGAGGCCACCGATCTCGACAGCTCACGCTGCGCCTGGCCAGCTGGATGCCGCGGGCTGTCATCGGCTTCAAAGTCCATCGGCTGGACACAGACGAAGAACTCCACGACGGGTCAATTTCAGAGCCGTTGACCGCACACTGTGTGTGAAGCCCTTCGACGCCTTGTACCTGACACTGACAAGTAGGTGGCTCAAGGAACAACTCATAGTTGGCTTGGCCCAGCTACATCACCACGTCACAACACCGACCGATGTTACGACGTGCGGAGAAGGCACAGGCTGAGCGAATAAAGAATGGCTGAGCTCGAGGACGATGGGCGCCCGCAGCGTCCTTTCGTTTCTAAGACGCTACCGACACAAACGAAGGGTACTCATGTCTTGAAGTTCACGCGGCTTGAAGTACCGTTCTGAAGATCCGACCTGCAGGCTCCACCATCGCGGGCACAAGGCTGGATCACCAAACATGAAAAACATCGTGCATCACCCTTCTGTGGGGCTCGCGAGGGGAGCATGCATCAGTTCCTCTTCTGCTGTTCATGCTGGTCGGCTGAGCGGCAAGAGCTACTGAAGTTGTAAGCTCTGGAGTCTATGGTGGAATTGCAGACCTGCACGCGAAGCTGTGGCCTCTCCTCTGGGCCGCCCCGAACAGGACCGGCTCCGTGCCCAGCTTTTCCCAGAAGACCCTCCCCGACAACCGCCTCACACCTCGGACACGGTCAGGATCGCACCGATATCAAAGATGGATTCATGGTGGTTGCGGGCGATGGCGCCTGTTCAGGGCAAGCCAGCGACTTCCCGTTTCGGCGACATGCGTTGGCAATGTTCTATTGCCTTGGCCATGCCATGTGCGTCCAGATGCCCTTCCCCTCAGCGGCCTCAGGAGCCCAGCGTGCGGAAGCAGGTGCTCTGTGCCATTGGTTCAGTTGGGCATGGCGCTCGCACGTTTATTTTCTTGTTTCGGCATATGGTTTGCAACTGGTTGCTGCCCTGTTGCGGGGCGAAACCATCAGACCGACGACCCACCAGGACCTTGCAGGATCCGAGCCAAGGGCGTGGAACATGCTGCTACACTCAAAGTCAAGTAGCACGTGGTGCCTGAAGAACTTCCCTACGGACGACGAAGGTGCCGTGGCCGTGGCAGCTGCTCGCAAGCACGCCTTTCATAGCGGCCATCTCCGCCAGCATTTCCGCGGCCAGCAGCTATGCGACCTGCTCAATATTCTGGGACCAAGATCTTACGCGCGCGTCGCTAAGCTTGGGTCCGCGGGCAGCGAAGCCAGAGACACCAAGTGCGAACAGGTCCGCGCACATCTGGAAGCTGAACACGGCATGGAGGACCACACTGTCGGAGCCATGCCAGACCTTGGTGAAGGCGATCCGTGGGCACATCTGGGTGTGGATGAGGACAACAGGGCTACGCCTGTGTGCGACACGTTTCAGGTTCCCATGCTCCACATCAGGTTGCGCCTGCTATTCGAGCGGCCCGCCCTTCGAGCGCGACCCCGACGACAGCCACGGTACACCAGAGACTCCCAGACTGGCAGCTTGTTCCACCGGCTTCTTAGATTTCTGCACCGTCTGCTCATACCAGGCCCTGCTAGTGATGGACCCGATCACTCCGAACTCAAGTTGGGATATCAAGCAGACGAGTCCATACCATCTGAAAGCAGATCATTTGTCGTACCCTCAGGCTGTCTTTCCTGCTCGCGTCTGGTATGTTACCTGGCTGCAGAAGGCGTTGCAGCCGAGACGGCCCAGCGCCGCGCGCCGCAGCTCACACGACTGGCTGCCCATGGAGCACCAACACCAGGCGGGGCTTGAACGCCCCGCCACCGCCAAACGCCGCTTCGCCTTTTCTCCAGACCGCCCGGGACGCCGTCCGTCTGGGCCAGCGTACCGCGGCAGCCTCCGGCACCGTGCTGATAGCCTCCTCCTCCTCCTCCTCCTCCTCCTCCTCCTCCTCCTCCTCCTCCTCCTCCTCCCCCTCCTCCCCCTCCTACTCCTCCTCTCCTCCTCCTCCTCCTCATCCCCACCTGCCTCTCCTCCTCCTACCCCCTCCTCCCCCTCCTCCCCCTCCTACTCCTGCTCCATCCTCCTCCTCCTCCTCCTCGCCCTCCCTCCCTCCTCCTCCTCCTCCTAGCTCCTCCTCTTCCGCCTCCTCCTTCCTCCTCCTCCACCTCCTCCCTCTCCCCCCCATCACCCCTCCCCTCCTCCTCCTCCACCTCCTCCTCCTCCCTTCCTCCAGCCTCCACCTCCTCCTCCTCCTCCATCAGGGGAAGAATGTCAGGCGGTCACTTTATTTTTTTGCCTCGGCCGAGTTCGGTCCCACGGCCCAGGGCCGGGCCCCACGGCGTCCGCGCGAGCCGCGCGGGGCCGGCGCCCCGCAGGGCTCGCCTCCCTCGCACGAACCTACCTTATTCATGCCCGTACCCCAGCCCAGACCCCATCCTCCTCCTCCTCCACCTCCTCCTCCTTCCTCCTCCTCCTCCCTCCCCTCCTCCTCCTCCTCCTCCTCCTCCTCCTCCTCCCACCCCAACTCCTCCTCCTCCTCCTCCTCCTCCTCCTCCTCCTCCATATCGTCTCCTATAAACAACCTCTCCCTGTCGCACCCCGAGGTCGGTCGAAAGGGCGGGCCGGGCGTTTCGCCTGAGACTTTCTTACAACTTATGACCCTGAAGGTCCAAACTTGGCGACAACTTCACAGATGGAAGGCGGGCCGATTTCAAAATGTCTCGCCTTAGCGCCGCGCGCATTCCTTTTAAAGATTTGCAAGAGCTTCTAGGATTGAGGGCGGGTGGTTTTGAACATGTGGCAATCGCCTCAGCTCCCCGCAAATTGGTTGTAAGCTTCTGCAAGAGCTTCACGGATTGAGGACGGCTCGTTTTCAAAATGTGATTATTGCCTTAGCGCTGCGCACATTCGTTTCAAACATAGGCAGGTTTTCACGGATGTCATGGTCAACGCACCAAAAATGGCATTCGGGAACAATTCAGTACTATGAGGGTGCAACATGTTTTGGTATGATTCAGAGTCTTCAAACCGTTGTCTTCCAGCGAGGGAGTTCCCTCAGTGGAAATGATCCCTTGTAGGGGCCTCTGAAGCGGGAGCTGGAAGGGAGGGTGTATGCCAACATCGTGCATGACTCTTGGGTTTACACTGGTCGTCGTCGTCCTCCTCCTCCTCCTCCTCCTCCTCCTCCTCCTCCTCCTCCTCCTCCTCCTCCTCCCCCTCATCCCCCTCATCCTCTCCCCCCCCCCCCCTCCAAAGTGACCACCTGGTTTCCCGTAGCCATTTTGGCTCAAGGCCCAGGAGGCTGGGTCCCTTGGACTCACCCCTCGCGGCCGGATGGGCTCCTCAGACATGGCGGCCTCGAGGATCGCCGTTGCAGGCGCAGCCCTGCTGGCCTGCATCGGGCTCGTGGGCTCGCACGTGCAGGCTGCTCTCGGCTTCGTCGCCGCGGCACCGGCCGCGAGCGCGCCGCAGGGAGCAGCAGCCTGGCTGGTGCGGCCCGCCAGTGGGCCGTTGCGCGTTTCGGCGCCGCGGTGCGGCACAGAGTTGGGTACGGCCAGCATGGTCGCCGCGGCGGCCGCTTTGGCCGGGACGTTGATGGGCCGCCGTCGCGTCCAGGTGGCGACGCAGGCCTCCAGAGTGGGTTTGCCCAGAAAGTTGCAGACGGTGAAGGGGAAGAAGCCGATCATCCACCGCGTGATCTTCAGGGACATGCTCAGTAACGTGCACAAGCCCTTGATGAAAAGGTTCAACCAAGAGGGCAAACTGAACGAGCTTGAGAAATGGACGAAGAACATGGCCTACGGGAAGATGAAGTTCAGGTTCACGTCCAGGCACTTCACCGACGACCTCAACATGATCGACGCTGCGATGGGCGGCAACGATGGCGGAGCGCGCAAGGAGCCAGTCGACCACCAAGTCGGGGACCCGTATTACGTGCGCAAGTATATGGAGCCCGCGAAGTTCAAGAAGCTCGAACTCGCGTCGTGGGAGATGCCAGAAGCTTTTGCCACCAGCGTCACGCTGAAGGAGCTCATGGATGCGGGTGTGCAGTATGGCCACGTTTGTTCCGCGTGGCATTAAGATATGATCAAGTTCTTGTATGCGGACCACGACGGCACGCACATCTTCGATCTTGTCCAGACCGCCGCCTGGCTGAATCGGGCGTGCTATTACTGCAAGGAGGCCGCCATGAAGGGAGCGAATTTCATCTTCGTGGGAACCAAGGACCAGGCCCAAGATGCCATCAGGAAGGCGGGGAAGCGGACGAACAGCCCGTACGCCGATAGCCGGTTTGTCGGCGGCATGCTGACCAATTTCCGGTGTCGCCAAGAGAGTATCCAGT